CTTTTTTCCAAAGCCTACCATGAATTCACTGAGGCGTCATTTCTTGTTCATTGTCATTGATATCTTAATTATTATAGATATTAATACACCTAGTATTATAGTATTCTAGTTATTTCTTCAGTAAAATAATCTTTTTTATCTTATTTTTTATTAGAATGGTCATAATCAAGAGGGCTAGTGATACCGTGTTAGAAAAATAAGGTAATTAAGGGCTTATTTTTTAGTATTTATTTTAATTTTGCTAATAACTTTGGTTTGAAAAGAGATATCAAGATGCGGTTTTCGCTGACTTTTTAAGCTTTTATTACTCTTTAGTATCAGCTAAAATTAGAAATACTATCGCATTTAATTGCTTTGAAAAAACGCGTAATGTTTGTTAAATTGTAAGACAGCGCCCTCTAGCGTCTACGTTCAAAAGCTTATTTTTATTGTTTATGTATTGTAATATAGAGTAAGATACGCTCTTTTAAACGAGCTCTCACTTGTTGGATTCCAATCATCGGAGTTATTAACATTTAAATAAAAAGAGATCTAACCTTTCCCCACCACTTATTTTAGCAGATAGGGGAAAATGGTTCTTACAAAAAGATCCTATATTTACTGAATATTATGAAGCTACTATTGATAGTACATCGTATCTATAGGCAAAATTTCTTAAAAATACCATTTTGTTATTTTCCACAGCAGTTACGCCCTCAGCTCCTTCTACAAACTTGAAAATAATTTCCAGCAATTTCTCATAGTCTCTTTAGTTAAAAATATTTTTTTCCGCAAGCCCTACGACTAATACTTTCTGAGATACAGCCGAAAGCTATTCTTAGTGGGACACTGTACACTATTCATAGCGCAATTATGAATTTAAAAATAAAATGTTTTTGCAGTTTTAATAAATCAAAATATCAAAAACCATAAATAATAGTCTCTTTTTTAATTAGCATCACTATTTTTTCTAATTTATTTTTCAAAGTAATCCACTGTTTTCTTTGCGCCAACATAAACAAACAAAAGTAAAAATCGTTTTCTATAAACATGTAATTCCCTGACAAATTACTTCCACAGATCTTTGTTGATTATATTCATTAAAATGTGCTAAAATGAATTTTTAACACGTATGATATATAGTAGTAGCACATTGTAACACCGATGTAATAACTTTACACATTGGAGAGCAGAGTGAATTACTATAAGTCTGCTAATAATTTGCAGACAGTCTAGAACACGTTCAGTGGATGACTTATAACATCTTTTTTAATGGATAGGAGATCCTTTATAGAACAGCATTTTATTTCTTATTGAGTTGAATGTAAAGTTATATACTCATGTCTACGTATATTTCGACACTCTCAAGGAAATCAAAATTTATAGAGTATTTTTATTTGACCTAGAACTATGAAATTTGGCAAGAAATACCATATTATACTACAAACACCGGGAATAATCTGAAAACTCTACATTTCTAATTAAATTTAAAAAAATATAGTCTTTAGTTAAAGTACGTAATCAATTATCGAGGTTAAGCAACGGTATGCGTGGTTATAATTGTATGGGTGACCAAATCTTTTTGTAGATGCTCTTAAACTTTTACCTACAGTCTTCTTTTAATAAAAATATCTTAAATATGTATATGGAATAAATTTGAAAGTACCAAAATTTTAATGAATGGTTTAAGAATAATGCTACACACTATCATATCAATGGATATGTTCCGTCGGATAAGTTAAACCTTGCAACTTTCAACTTAATCATTTAGATAGTTGAGAACTTTTTAATAACATCGTATATTTTTATTTATATTTGAATTTCTGTATATTTTTTAAAAATTTCATATTATTTACAATTTTTTTTGTTAATATTTATTTTTATTATATATTCTATATTTTGTGTCTTTATAAAATATAGACTACATGTTATTAACAAGCAGAAAATGTACTTATCCGTTCATTTCCTGAACTAAAACATTCAAATATTATTGAAAAAAAATCATAACCTAATAGGATGTTATTCACACTTCATAATATATATTAAAAACAAAAAATGGGGTTCATGAAGACCTCTCCTGCAAAAATATAAGTTGATTCTTTATTATTTTTTATGCTTTTTTTTATAAATAAACACATAGTTGCACGAAAAAATCTGTTCGAAAAAATTATTGAATAATTATTTAAAAACCTATTTAATAAAATTATATTTTATTTCGCCGACACTATTATAAGATTATACACTTCTGTGTGCACTTTTTGTCATATTCTATCATAAAAAAACAAATTAACAATAATTATAGCAATTAAAATATTCAATTCTGTCATGGCGTGGAATATTAATATTTTATTCACTTCCTAACCGTTTATAACTCAGATTATTACTTCTTAAGCACGTGTTTGAGAACACACGTCTGCTGCTCATAATAAACCAGTAATTTTATTATTAAACAAATATCAATAAAAGTCTGTAATAAATATTTACGAGTGTTGCATACCGAAGCCGTTTAAAATATTTGTATAGAAAGTGAAACTGATAATTTAAAGTGCGTTTTTCATTCATTCGGTTAATTTTTTTTAGATTTTTGGCTAATTTTTAACAGAAAATATCGATAAAATGTTAATTAAATATTGCATCTTAAAAAAGAAAAATCAAAGTAATTATTTTTAAATAATTTTAATTATTTATTTTAATTATTTTATTTTCTAATACTTTTTTTAAACAGAACTAATAAAAATTAAAATCCAGCAAATCAGATTTTAAAGAAAAATTATTCAGGAAGATCTTCCGCAAGAAATTATTGGTTATTATTACCAGGTATTAAGCGGTTACAGCACAAATACTGCCAGAAAAGTCTGGTGTTGTATATGATAGGGAATTCAAGGCGTTTGAAGAGTGGATGAAAGTAAAACATGTTAACCCTCAATTGGCGTGGTGAATTTTTGTAACGCTTATGGCGTGCTGGGGTCCGACGGACCCCAATAATTTTTTTTTAGTTTAAAATACATGATGAAGAGATTTTATAAAAAGCTTGTTATTTTAACACTGTTTACAATATATTCAAACTTGTGAACAAACAATTTCATTAATTTTCAACAAATTAATAAGAACGGACACAAAAATAAAGTAAAACGCATTTTTATTAAACGTAAACATTTTACAGAGGTTCAAATAGTGCTTGGGGTCCGCTGGACCCCACCACGCCACACAGTGTAACGAAATCGGGAAATGCGGGACATTAGCCCAAAAAACAAAAAATTTAATTCGTCAAGTTTTTTATATAGATGGATAAAGGACATCCCAGAGCTCCACCATGTGAGATATTTCTTGAGTTGACCTCTTAGTCGGGGAGTTATGGCGGGTTAAAGTTATGGTTTCCTTAATTTACCAAATCTGTACAAAAATTTCATACAATGAAATTTATTATTTTCAGAAGTTTCCTTGTGTTGTTCAATTCCAACATTTTTTTCCGTGATGAGAGGTCTTTTACCAACAACAAACCTGAAAAAAATGTTCCAATTTTTTAAAGTCTAGTTTCTACATGTTTATTATGACTTTCAAAAAAACGCTTACATTCGCGCAAGTTTATATATACAAAATATCATAGAGTGAACCTTCTAGTATACTGCTACATATAAATTTCATCCACCTAGATCCGAACCTGGAAGAAAAAAATAAATTTCTTGTGTAGCGATTTTTCTTTTGAATTTCTGTCAGTAGCGGTTTTTCTTGGCCTAAATATGAATTTGTATCAATAATCCTCAGGTAATTGATTATCCACACAAAATAAAGTTTACCTTGTAAAACATCAGACCGCATTTGTGGATATATTTTCGGCAACATTCTCTTGATATATTTAAACCAGTTACAGTATTCCATTTAACTGTTACTTCGCCAAGAGTACTTCTTCTCGCAGACTTGCAAATTTTAACTAAATTTCGTAAATCTCACTGAGATACAACTTTTGGCCTTCCCGAACTTTTACCTCTAACGTCTACGTTGGCAGATTCGCCGTATTTTTTTTTATTATATTAAAGACCGTGGTTTTTGGAATACTTCAGAAATCATCAGAAATTTTTCGAATTGTTTTTCCCGTACTGTATTGACGAATGATAATTTCGCGTAGTTTTTGATTTGTAGCTTTTCCACGGACCATTACTTTGGATTAAATTAACAAAATTGAAAATTAAAATTTCTTACAGTAAATCTCACTACTCAAAGTATCGAGTCACTTACAAGCTGTTAATGCTGAAGTAAAGAGTTTGCGACATTTGTGAAGTTTATAGCAAAGCCGCCTAATATGATATTAATTATTTAAAAATACTTGTCCCAAGATTTAGTTGTCAGCAAATTTGTCCTTTTATGAACAAAATCCGCTACTGTAAATATGGATTGATTTACAAATTCATAAAAATATTGTCAAGTTGTTTAGGATATATAGCTATGTTTATATTTAAAAAATTAAACATATATTTTTCAGTCATTTTGGAAAACCAGGGCAATAAATCCATAATATGGCCTTGTCCCAACATATAGTTGTTAGTGCTCGTACATGTGAGTAATGTCTGTATAAGTAGTGGCTGTTAGATAAAGAAAATTTATTTTAAATATAAATGCCCTTCTAGTAAAAACCTTAATTATGAAGCCAGCTTGATTATACCATGTATCTCTTTCAATCCACTGTGTCTTTCACCAACCACACCGTCCCTTTTTAAACAAAGAAAAAGAATCTCCTGTCTCTTCTTTCGTCCCTTCACAAACTACACGTACACATGTGCCCGTGTGATTTAATGGCCGTCCCGAACCGTGGACAAAGACAAACATACGTGCCTTACGAGCCTGGGACGGAGAAAAAGATAGTTATTAGGCGCATGCCTTCGATTCTCTCACAGTATTTGCCTGAGATCGCGACGCTATTACGCTACATACGATCGGGCGCAGGCGTAGTAGTCTCAGGCACGTACGTACCGCCATGGAAACTCGTATGTCGGCAATTCCATTCGGTTTAAATCGTCGGCGGGTTGAAAAGCGCCTTTAGAAAAGTGCCGCGGTTTTTCCGAAAATTTAATTGGTTGATAGTTCGACTAGATTCAGTGTTGATTTGTGGTAGTTGAAGTAAGGGAATAAGTTTTTAAAGACAGTAGTTTCGGGGTTTTTTATTTATGCGATTTTTCCGAAGTCTTTGTGTTGATTGATCTTGAATTTGTCTTCTTTTTGTGAAGAGGATTGAAGAATCTGTTAGCTGAGGGAGTCCGAGTGGATTGTTGGATATTTTGGTGAGTTAAAATTGTAAAAGTATTGTCAAAAAAGTTTTTTATGTTGCAAAAAAATTTAATTATCTATAGAAACAATAATTGCCTGATGTTTTTAACACTTTATAATTCCTTTGGTACATAGATAATTTTATTTCTTACTGTATTTAGTATATTTTGTCTCATTTTAAAACGGCAAAAATATATTGTATTCATTAAATATTCTGGTGTATTTGTATTAAAGCTGCGGGTAAGAACTTTGTTTGTTTGTTGCCAGGTTACTACTGTATTAAATGACCTGTTTATACATTGACGGTTGTTGTCAATCGAGTTCAGTTTTTTTGTCAAAAAAATGGCACACGTTCGAGAACGTTTCCATTATAATGGAGCAAATATTAAAAAAACTGAAAAAGCACGACAAGCGTTTCTTCCAGCTAAAAACGAATCCATTTATAACAAGGAATATAAAAAATACCTGCAATGGTTGGGATAGAAAAATATTGTAGCCGGGGATGGCGATGAAACTGTTCATTTGTAAATTTACTATAAAAGTCATATTATTATGGTTTGTTGGGAATTAATTTTAGGAGAGATATTTTTAAATCCACTTATAATCAGCTACAAATTAAACAAAGTTCAAGAACAATATCTGACAGAGTAACTGCGAACTAACAGCACCTTGAGCACCTACTTCATAATTCGGTCCTATACTTTAACTACAAACTAATACTACTATACTGCTACTTTAACAATAAATTTTCACTTAAAGATACTTCAAAAATCTTCTCTTCGTTCAATCTTAGTCTGCGATTGTTGTTTTTTCTACACCGGTCTCGAAAATGACTCACTCCTATAAATTTTTTATTTTTTTAGATAAAAAAACGAGTTTTGGTATGTTAGTATATGACATATATTAGGTTTGATTGACGTATTCAATGGTTTTTAGTCACATTGGTGTATTGATGAGGAGCAAAAGCTAAAGCATGCTTTTAATGCTGAAATTGCTGTAAATCGTTACTGTCTTTTTTAAAAGCAAATATATCCAACAAAAAAAATTATGGAGATCCTTTCTTTATAAAACCATTCCCCAGGGTGTTTCAAGCTTATGTCAAAATAACAACATTTTGTTTTCCGTCGTATATAACAGACAGATGAAGACTTTAATTTATAATTTAAAAAAGCCCAAAAAAGGCAAATAATTTATTTAAAAATTTTAAGGTGTGTGTTTTCTTCATGTTGATCATGTTGGTCAATTTATATGACTATTAACATCAACATATTCCCACTACCCGTCAATGTCGCGGTCGCGTCGCCGTCGTGGCAACGTCCATCTCCCATTTACTTCATGTTTTATGTGGAGACGATTGCTCGACGTGACGGTGACGGTACGTTATAGTGAAAATCGCGTCTTATACCAGAGTCTGCCCGACAAGTCAGAGAAGATTTCGACAGATGACATCCAAAAAATGACAAAAAACAATGTATTTCTGTGATAAAGGTTAGAATAAGTTGCTGGGGCTTGGTATCCTGTTTGGTCCCTTACTCGGAAGCTTTGGGTCCATTGTGATAGCCCTGTTGTTATAGTACCAAACGTTCCTCTCATTTTTTCTTTGTCTTCAAGCACTTTCGACTCTTTACAAAGTTCCCGATGCCGCTGATGTTGGATCCTGCTGCTTCCTCTAGATCCTCCAAAAAACCGCGCTGTAAAGTTTTAAAGCGTCGGTTTTCTAGTGCCGGACAGTGGCAAATCAGATGCTTTATGATTTCTTCTTCCTCTCCGCATTCTCTACAGTAGTCGTCGTTGGAGATCTTCCATTTCACGAGGTTTGCCTCCGTGGAGCAGTTTCCAGTGACGACACCTACTATTATGCGTACTAGGTTCAGGGCCGGCGGAAGGGTCGGGCGACCCGGGCAGCTGCCCGGGTCGCCTGAAACGAGGGGCGCCACGACAGCAACTAAAATATTTAAAAACAGTAATCTAAACAAAGAGTAACGAATATCCAGTTCAATAATTAATCGGTACTGTCAATTTCCACATTAGCACATTAGCTATTACCACACCACATATCTGACTAAACATTATAAACACTATACTATATCCTAGATGTATCCTATTATAGTTTACTGAAATTATGCCCAAAAAATCCTTAGCACAAAAGCTTTGGGGTAGTTTTGATTTCTTCTATTCTATATGTTTTTTGAGTGCTCTATCCGAAACTGGGATTTGCGAATTCATTTTCGTGGAAGAATATTAAACAAAATTAAATAAAAAAATATAAATCGGATTTGTTCGTGGCATTTTTATAACTCAAAAGCTAACAACTTTTTGTAAATAATCCTTCTTTCTATAATTCTCGTTTTTATAAATTTCTAAACAAACTGTTTTGGGTCAAGAGCCAGCAAAATTAACAGTTTTAGACTGACCGCCCAAAATTGCACCTTTTCTACTATCCAAACCCTTTATTTGTTATTAATGGCTGATATATTCTAAAGTAATATGCGGCAAATATTCATTCGCAAGAAGCTGAAGAGGATCCCGATATCCTTATTATAAAAAAACTGATAAGTTTGTCTCATTAATTAAATTAATTTATTAATTAGTAGTGGGAAAGATATCAATCTTTTGATGGTTTTGATTGTTCCGGATTGAATATGTAGTAATACACTGAAAATGGTAGCAAAATCGCAAAATATTCTCATTAGAGGAATCACACAAAGAAAAATTTCTCACAAAGAAATGCATCTCAAATATTGGCTGATCCTCATTTTGCAGCCGAGAAAACTGTCCGATCATAATACTGATTCTGCACTAAATATGTAATTGTTTGTGAAAAACAAAGGAAAATTTTCTTAAATTCTTAATAATAAAATATAATAAAAAATAATGCAACTGCTTGCAATTAAATACTGTTATGTTTTCAAAGATCACTTATACCAGAACGAGACTGCCGAAGTTGGAATTCTATTTCTTAAGCTCTATATACCGAGTGCGTCTCAGAAGTTTCTCCCCCTATAATTTGTTTATTTTTAACACAGCCCTGGCACTATAGATTAAAATTTAAAATACGATTTTTTAAACGAAAATGTCAAAAGTTGACATATGATATGCCATTCTACTCAGAATGTCAATTTTCTTTTGAAATAAAGTAGAAATATACCGAGGGTGCATTTAAAAATCAAAAGTTTTAGTCATTTCCGGTCAAACAGGAAGTGACTAAAAACCATTGAATACGTCAATCAAACCTAATATATGTCATATACTAACATACCAAAACTCGTTTTTTTATCTAAAAAAATAAAAAATTTATAGGAGTGAGTCATTTTCGAGACCGGTGTAGAAAAAACAACAATCGCAGACTAAGATTGAACGAAGAGAAGTTTTTGAAGTATCTTTAAGTGAAAATTTTATTGTTAAAGTAGCAGTATAGTAGTATTAGTTTGTAGTTAAAGTATAGGACCGAATTATGAAGTAGGTGCTCAAGGTGCTGTTAGTTCGCAGTTACTCTGTCAGATATTGTTCTTGAACTTTGTTTAATTTGTAGCTGATTATAAGTGGATTTAAAAATATCTCTCCTAAAATTAATTCCCAACAAACCATAATAATATGACTTTTATAGTAAATTTACAAATGAACAGTTTCATCGCCATCCCCGGCTACAATATTTTTCTATCCCAACCATTGCAGGTATTTTTTATATTCCTTGTTATAAATGGATTCGTTTTTAGCTGGAAGAAACGCTTGTCGTGCTTTTTCAGTTTTTTTAATATTTGCTCCATTATAATGGAAACGTTCTCGAACGTGTGCCATTTTTTTGACAAAAAAACTGAACTCGAGAATTATAATAACTGGTAAGGAGGGGGGGGGCGTCAGATAGGGTACTCGCCCGGTCTCAATATTTTCTTTCCGCCGGCCCTGACTAGGTTCTATTTGTGTGATATAATACGATGTTAAGACGTCTTTTTGCGGACGACACTAGCTTCACTTGGAGCAACAAGGACGTCACGGCACTTCAAAGGATTATATCAAATGACTTAATCACCATTAAATCTTGGTGAGATTCGAACCTCCTGAGTCTCAACATTTCTAAAACTAAAGCTTTGTCGTATAAAAACTCGCTGCAGCCTTTTGTACTTAACAACATCACCATTGGCGTCGTAAAATCTGTGAAATTCTTAGGGCTTGTTTTGGACAATTCTCTGAAATGGGACATACATATCGAAGCTTTGTCGAAAAAACTGAGCTCTGCCTGATTTGCATTAAGGTCTGTTTCTAAGGAGCTTAACTTGTCAGTGGCTAGAACTGTTTATTATGCACTTTTCGAGTCGCACCTCAGATATGCCCTTCCATTCTGGAGTACGTGTTGTGCGACTCAATTTGACCGCATTTTCAAGCTCCAGAAGAGAGCTGTTCGATATTCACTGGGACTAACCACAGAACTCATTGCCAGAACTTTTTAAAAAAATAAGAATATTAACTCTTGCTTCCCTATTTATATTTGAATCCGTTTGCCTAATACGTAAGCAGGTATCAGCTTCTCAAGAAAAGCCATCTCACACTTATCTACTCAGGAACGCGGAGCAAGATCTTTATCTACCTACTCTACGCTCAGAGTTAGTTAAAAGTTCAACATTATACAACTCGAAAATAATGCACAATTACCTGCCATTTGAAATCAAATCCATAACATCATTTTCTTCATTTCGCAAAGCATTGAAATCTTATTACAAGACAAGGCTTTCTACGCCGTAAATGACTTATATTTTGATAATTGAATTTGATCTTGTAAACACTGGTCTAATATTTGCTATTACTATATTTACTATAAACTTACTAAATATTTTTGAATATTATTTTTTTTTATTCTTTGACATTGTAAACATTTATAAATGTTTATTTTAAACAATAAGACTGACAATGTAATTTCTATATTTGTTTTGTATTCTCTTTTGTTTGTTTACTGCACCTTTCTCTACAAATTGTAAAATTTTTTGACAATAAAGGCATTTATTTATTTTTTCTCACG